CAGGGGAGACACTGTGGTCCTCCTCTTAACATTTGTCACCTTATTGCCAACTTCTAACTTAATATCTGTCTTCTTTCCTGGACAGTAAGTTCCCACAAGGTGAGGGAACCATTTATTGTTCCCTGCAGAAGCCCCAGTCTCAGAGTAGTGCATAGAAGATAAGGGGTTACTCCATACAGGTGCATCTAATTGAATACAATGGAATGGAGGAAGGGGAAGCAACAGCAAGAGATGGACCCTGCCCTCAAAGCATTGGGATGGATGCATAGTCAGGATCTAGACTGTAGGCACACATTGAGATTTCTAGAAATGTCTGTTTAAAAAAAAAATACACTTTGTTTTTTAGAGAAGCTTTAGGATTGTGGACAAATTGCATAGAAAGTACAGAGTTCCCATATACTCCTTGTGCTCTCCACACTGTCCTATTATTGACATCTTGCATTCTTGTGGTACACTTTGTACCACTGATGAACCAATATATTGTATTAACTAAAGTTCATAGTTTATGTTAGGGTTCACTCTTGTGTGTATAGTTCTATGTAATGTCATGTATCCACTGTTACAGTATCATACAGAATAGCTTCTCTGCTCTAAAAATGCCCTGTGCTCTACTTATTAATCCCCCCTCCTCTCCCTGAACACTTAGCAACCACTGGTCTTTTCACTGTCTCTCTAGTTTTGTCTTTTCAGAAAGCTGTATAGTTGGAATCGGTATATAGCCTTTTCAGACTGGCTTCTCTCACTAGAAATGCCTTTTCTTTATGCCACCTTAAATTTATAAAACATCCTCCTTCTCAAAGGACTTGAAAGGCTTTCCTTCATGTGCTCAGAAGGTCCCTGTGAGGTAAAAGTGGGCAGGAACTGTCCCTATTTCATAGATGGAAAACTGGAGACCCCAAGAAGTTTAATTACTTGCCCAGAATTTTGGTCAGCAGGCAGGCAAAGTCTGATGCCCAGATGTCCTGAGAGCCAGACCACCACTCTTTTCTGCAGATGTGGGGTCTTCTAAAGGCATTTATCAAGACTGAACTCTTGTACATGTATTTGATAGGGGAGGCCACAATAGAGTACAGTCTCCGAGCTGTGCTGAGTTCTGCTGATCCAATTAAGATCTTATCAGCCTTGGCTTGTCATTAGAGTTTTATATTGCCCTGTGTTAATTATTAAAATTGGTTGCATTCCAATTAGTTTTGGTTGTAAAAATGTGACCTGTGAAGCAAGAAGAGTTAAATGGATGAGGTTTGAGGACATCAGGATTGACGCAGAACGGACCTCTCTAGAAAAGCAAGGATCAGAGGTGCAGTGCTCCGTTCCTTGTAGATCATAAAATGCAACGTCTGAAATAGCTAACAAGCCTATTATCTAATGTCTGCTTATGTGTCTTGGCCTCCTGGAAGAATGAGGCAGGGCACACACCACAGACAACCCAGTAACAAGCCACTTCATAAACAGAGTTGGAAACACTCTCAAAGCTACTCAGTGACTTTGCCCTGGGCCGCGTAGGAGAATTTGCAGGTGTCCATTCATGGGCCAAGGGAACTCTGGTTTTCAGGCAGGCATGAGGAAATGTAGGGGAGACTTGCTTTTAAAGATAAGGCAGCTGCTCCTCTTCTCCACTTAATCTGCTTTGCCGAATCTCATTCCTTTTACACTGAATTTACACAGGGCCTGCTTACAGCAGGGCAGTCCTTTGAAGGCTAAAACCTCCTCCCGCCCGTGTAGGGTCTTGGAGACCCTGGAGCAGGGCAGCTGTGCAGGCGTGGTGAGAAGTGGACCAACCAGGACTCAGGGCAGAGCCTGGCCCTCCCCTCACGACCAGCATTCTGGTAAAGGAGCCTGGTCTAGGGGTGGGGGCCAGTTAGGTCAGAGCCCACGAGCAGGTGTGGTCTGCTCCCTCAGGCCTCGGGCTCTGGTGCTTTCACGAGTACTACCTAATTTAATCTCCTCTTCCCAGTGAGGTACGATTATCTCCATGTTAAAGTGAGGGACCTGCTAGTCGGATGGCTGAAGAAGAAGATGCAGGGGTCACTAGCTGGTTAGTCCGTTGGCCCATGGCTCTGTCAGCTGATACCAACCGTGAGGGGCAGACACGGGCCAGTCAGGGCAGGGGAGGAATCTAAGGGCAACCAGTTTAGAATAAAGACAATGACCACAGAGCCTATGCTAATGAATCGCTGGGGAAGAAAATACACAGAACTTGAGGTGAGCAATAAACAGATTAAGTGGCTAAAAATCTAAATGTGAAGCTATGCATTATTACCAGAAGGCCATGGCAGCTGAAGAAAAAAACAATCTGGAAAATACCCCACCAAGGTCAAACTATGCAAGCCTGTGAGTAATAAAGTGGAGAATTAAAAAGCTTGGCAGAGAGACCATATAGTGGGTTAAATTGTGTCCCCTCCTTGAGATATGTTGAAGTTCTAACCTTCAGTACCCGTGAACGTGACCTTATTTGGAAATAAGGTCCTTATGGAGGTAATCAGGAAACCCTAATGGCATAGTGGTTAAGAGCAACAACTGCTAACCAGAAGGTCAACAGTTTGAATCCACCAGGCGCTCCTTGAAAACTCTGTGGGGCAGTCCTGCTGTGTCCTTTAGGGTCACTATGAGTCGGAATCAACTCGACAGCAACGGGTTTGGTTTTTTGTTTCGTTCTGTTTTTTGATGTAATCAAGTTAAGATGTGGTCATACTGGATGAGTAGATTACAAAAAAACAAAAAACCCATTGCCATGGAGTTGATTCTCACTCATAGCAACCCTATAGGCCAGAATAGAACCATCTCAGAGGGTTTCCAAAGCTGTAATCTTTACGGAAGCAGACTGCCAGGTCTTTCTCCAGTGGAACAGCTGGTGGGTTCAACCCACTGACCTTTGGGTTAGCAGCTGAGCACTGAACTACTGTGCCACCAGGGCTCCATTAATGGATTACAGTGGGCTTCAAATCCAATGACTGGCGTCTTTATAAGAGAAAGAAGAGGGAGATATGGATAAAGAGTCACAGACAGACAAAGAGGAAGACAGCCATGTGAAGATGGCAGCAAAGATTGGACTGAAGCGGATATAAGCCATGGAACACTAAGGATTGCCAGGAACCACCGGAAACTGGAAGAGGCAAGGAAGGATTCTTCCCTAAAGCCTTCAGAGGGCGCATGGCCTGCCAACACATTGATTTCAGTCTTCTAGCCTCCAGAAGTGTGAGAAAACAAATTGCATTTGTTTTAAGCCACCTGGTTTGTGGCAATTTGTTATGGGCAGCACTAGGAAATGAATGCAAGCCATCGCGAGCTTTTTGAATCCTATAAAATAGGCATTACCCCACCATCAAATTATTCCCAGAGTTCTATGCAGGTTCAAATTGTACACAAATGTGCAATAAAATATTTATGTCAAAATACCTGTCTCTTGCTTGCTAGTTTATTTGTTTTGATACAAAACCTGTTTTTTTTTTTTTTTTTTTTTTTTGAAGAACTGTCAGGTCAACTGACTTCTCATTAAAAAAATTTCAACATTTAAGATTAGTATTCTAGGAAGAAATGAAGCTTCTGTCCAAGTATTTCAAATTTTGATCCCTCTACAGCAAAAATAAATGGATTAAAAATGTCTTTTCAAGGGCAATGTCTAGAGAATGAAGGTTGATTTTTAAGTAATTGTTAAAAGGAGTCAAAAAACCAAAAAGAAATAAAAGAACCATTAAGCTGGAAAATGTCTTACCTTGAGAAGTTGAGGAAATGAACATGTCGAGTGAATAAATAGGGCTGTTCGGCAGTACTTATATTTTTAATCAGTTCCATCTATTAAAAAAAAGCACAAAATTAGCATATATAGGACCTAATTTTCAAGCTGTAATAAGCTAAAGGTTATCTATCTAACTCCCATCTATCTCTTGGGCCAGGGCCACATAGCTGTGTTTTGTGCAACATTTATGGACTTTACATAAGGCTTTTTAGTGTGTAAATATAAAGGAGTCATGGTGGTACAATGGTTAACTGCTCAGCTGCTAACCGAAAGGTCTGCTGTTCAAATCCACCAGCAGCTCCTGGGGAGAAAAGATCTGGTGATCTGTTCCCATAAAGATTACAGCCTAGGAAACCCTACGGGGCAGTTCTACTCTGTCCTATAGGGTCACTAAGAGTTGGAATCGACTCAATGGCACACAGCAAATCCAGATTTACAGCCATGGATCTAATTAGTTGATTGCTACCATGAAAACAATGTGACAGATTAAGTAATTTCAACTAGGGAAATAAGTGTATGGCTGTACTGAAATGCAAGTAAAAAAAATGCATTTAATCCCCTCTTTTAAAGTCAAATCAAGAGAGGAGTTCAATCATTACATTTCTATAATGATATTATTGGGCTATACAGAAATATTTGAAACTAGTTCTTCAGAATTTAGAAGTGGGAATAAAATAAGGCAATACTCCATTATTTCACTCTTTGATTGTAAAAATGTATAAAGAAAATATTTCATAGGAAACACACAGACCCCCAAACTTCTTGGTTCTGGTGGGTGGCCACCTGAATTATTTATTTGCAGTTATCAGCAAGTGAAAAAGAAGTTTATATTTGTATAAACTCACCTTTATGGTCTTCTGGAACATGTCATACAGAAAATGTTTAGTAAAATCTGTCAGAAATTCCAAACATTCTTATGACTCCCTGACTTCCTGAATTCCACTTTCCTTAGATTTTCTAATTGGCTCCATTAAAACTGACACACTGTGGAATTTTTAAAAAGCACATTGAAGATTGCTATTTTCGAAGAACATCAGAAGTGCAACATGCCATGCTTTATGAAACAGTTCAAGTTAAAAACCGGAAACAAAGAATAGTCATTCACATGTCAACACAGTAGCAACAAGAAGACTCTGGAATTCCAGGTTTGTCTCGAACACGACAGAAGATGTGGGTCACCCTGGTTGCCTTGTGTCTAGCATGGTGGCTAACACATACATAAGTGCTCAATGATAATTGCTGAATGAATTAGCTCCAACTAGTACATGCTTCATAGATTGCTAAACTGAGATCTCAGTGTCTAAATTCTTTAGAACTTTGTGCTTACAATGCTTGTTTGAATAAATGAAACTGCATTTTATAAGTAAATTACTTTTGCAGTTCATAAACCCTGTGCTTCCGTTAGTCAGTGGCAGGCACAGGTAAATAACGGTTGGCCTGTCTCCAAGATGTAGCATAAAAGGAAATTGAATCCTTGCTCATTACCTACTGTTTATCTTCTACAGCCTCCCCTAAAAGCTCCAGTGATTGCTTTTGGTAGTAAAACTTCCTGCTTGGTCCCCTTGCTATTTTTGACTTTTGATGGATCTACCAATAGAATTTATAAAAGATCCCTAGGTGGTGAAAATGGTTTGCTCTCGGCTACTAAGCTAAATGTTGGTGGTTCAAACCCACCTCATGGTGCCATGGAAGAAAGTCCCCGCGATCTGCTTCTGTAAAGATTACAGCCAAGAAAACCCTATGGAGTAGTTCTATTCTGTAACACATGCGGTCGCCATGAGTCAGAATCAACTTAACAGCAACAAGTTTGGTTTTTGTACCAACGGAATTGCTGATTTTGAAGCATAACCATATGTAATTTAACTCTGACGATGTCTGCTTAGAAATACAACTATTATAACTCATTAATGAGTTACAATTAATTATTATAACTAATTTATACATAACTCATTAATACGTTAATCTCTAGATTATTTTTGTTCAAAAACTTCTCTGCACCCGTAAGAATAATACAAGAAAGCCCCATAGTACTATACAAGAAAACTGGAAAAACAGGTCAGAAGAAAAACTGTTTCTTTGACATTTTCAACATTATATTACTTTCTCTAAACACATGTCGATGTGTTAAACTTAATGGAAGAACAGTAGTGGTTAGATCTGGAGAATAGTGTCATAACAATCCTAAAGCTGTCTATTTTACAAGGAAAAATGGATTAGCAGTGACAATGTATAACTCTTTCTAGATGTAACTTTAAATACAGAATAATAGCACTAATGCTCATGTTTATTGCATTAACTCAGTGAAGTCAGAGAATCCATTTCAGCTCTTACACTTGGTCATTGCATGGCAAAGATAAAGTCACATATGATGCGCCATTAGCATAGGTTTAAGGCATTATGTCTGAGGTGTTATTTGCTCTTCACAAACACTAAAATCCTGGCCAGATTGTCCCCGTTGCTAGTGACAAGCTTTGGTCTCCCTGAACTCCTGTCTGTCACCTGAGTTTTCTCTCTTGGTTCTCCACTGTTGTGAGCTGCCTGCCTTTCCCTCTGGCTTGCTGTTATCCACCTGGGCAGCATC